ATAATAATGAAATAACTAGTTACAAAAAAAAGAGAAGAATTTAACTTTGACGACATCTGACGAAAATCTAATAACTCAAACGATTCTTACTTAGTACATAATAACCCCCCTCCCCCACCCCCCGGGCGACAGTAAAATCTTAGCTCCGTTTCATAATTATACATATTTTCGGTAAAATTTAACTGCCATGCACAAATGATTCTGAACGAAAAAATAAAAATTATAAACATGGATTATTCATAATTATACATACCTCTAATAGACTTTAACTACCACACACTAATAATTCTAAATTGTAAAACAAAAAAAAATACACACAACGATAATATAAATGCAATAAACATTTAAATTCAGTTATCACGGACCCAACATCTACGAAATTGTCAAAAGTACTAATGTACACATAATTCAAAAACAACAATAAGGAATGGCATGAGCAACAACTATTCTACCTTCTACACCTGCAAAAATAAAAGCCCATTTTTCTTGTACCATCATTAGAAAACAGGACAAAGTTTTTTTTTTCTAGAACAGGAGCTTCCTGAAATATATCCCCCCATAAACTCCAGCAGCGGTCTAGAGAGTTTAAATCTGACGACTAATCTTGTAAATTACATTTTATTAGTGTTTTAACCACATAGTAAGTAATTCAACCTTCCACTTATCTTTTAACCACTGTAAAAAAAAAAAATGGTGATCTACTTGGAGAACCTTAGTCTATATAATAAAGTACAACATAAAAAATAACTTTTGATTTTTGCAGTTATGATCGTATTAAATTTTANAAAAAAAAAAAATGGTGATCTACTTGGAGAACCTTAGTCTATATAATAAAGTACAACATAAAAAATAACTTTTGATTTTTGCAGTTATGATCGTATTAAATTTTACTTTAAAAATAATCTGACGATTAATATTAACTCTCAAAATTTAATAGCGAATATAAGCTCCCTAAAGGTGTGTTTGGGATGAATTTTCAAAAGTGCTTCTAACACTTACAAAATAAAGTTTGTGTTTAGAACAACTTATTTTAATTACTTCCAAATAAGTCAAAAATAACTTTACCACTTAAATAAGTAAAATTAAAAAAAAAAAAAAAAAACTTCTACCTCTTTAAAATTACTTATATACAAAACACTTCACCATCACCATCACCACCCCACTATGACCGCCACCAGCACCACCCCACCAGCACCTCTGTCATAACTACCACCACCATCACCAGCATCGCCACCACTCATCCACACCACCATCGTCGTCACTCACCACCGATTGCTATCATTGCCATCTACCGTCACCACCCACTATCATCATCATCTCATTCTTATCCGCCACCACCCACTAGCACAACCCACCAGTGCCGCCACCCACCCCCACTACACCTCCACCACCAACCATCACCACCTGTCATTTTCCAGCAACACTGCCAACCACTGTTACGCACCCCCACCACACCTACCGCCACCACCCACTACGACCGTCGTCACTCACCACCACTCACACCCACCACCACCATCGTCACCACCCACCACCACAACCCACCACCGCAATCATCATCATCGTTGCTCACCACCATCCACACCCACCACCACCACCACCATCACCATCACTCTCACTCATGGCTGTCACTACCACTATCATCACTCAAAACCTATTACCACCATCACTGTTGCCACCCNCACCACCGTAGTCACTCACCACCACTCACACCCACCACCACCATCGTCACCACCCACCACCACAACCCACCACCGCAACCATCATCATCGTTGCTCACCACCATCCACACCCACCACCACCACCACCATCACCATCACTCTCACTCATGGCTGTCACTACCACTATCATCACTCAAAACCTATTACCACCATCACTGTTGCCACCCACGGCTACCACCACCACCACCTCGGTCGTCGCCACCCACCATAACCGTCACCATCTCCCATCACCACTACTACCGCTCAACCCCACTACTACCAGTGCTTAAGTTCCTTTCTATATTTTCTATGTTTATAATTTAATTTTGAGTATGAATACAAATATGTTTATGATTGACAATTTTTTTTATTATTATATGCCTGAAGGCACGAACAATAACTAGTATTTATATTAAACTCATTACAAAGTTGATCATATTTAACAAGGAAAAGACATAAAGGTTGTATCAATGAAATGGGCTAAAGGGGAACATAGGGTTGACAACCTTTGACACAATCCATTAAGAGAACTCGAATCTAATATAGAATCAGAATATCATAGTTAAACAAGTTATTGTCAGCAATGGATTAGCCCGTTTAACACAAATAATAAACATATTCCCCAGCATTGAATGTATATGATGTTAGAAAACTATATTGTTGCCGATGTTACAAAGTACGGTCCTTTCCATAATCTTCATTCCTAGAAATTTTAAAAAAGCTAAACTATGGAGATGAATTATTTTTTTAACTAAGGAATTATTGTCGCTACAATGAATGGCTTCTACTGTCTGTGTTTGCGCATGTGTGTAGATGTTGGGTGGAGGTGGAGGCATAGGCGGAGGAAAAAATGGTGTTGGGCCAAGCTGACATATTTTTATTCTTAGCTTTTCCGTTTTCTTATTTTTAAAGGATAGAATTGGAATCCCATGAAAAAAAAATTATTGGAAATAATGTATAAGATGGGGTGTGCACTGGTACTTTAATGTTCCAACAATGTCGTCAATCAATTTTGTCTATTTGATACTTTGAGGGGACAAATTGTAACATTTGAAACCATAGGATGTTAATTACAACAAAAGGCATAGTTGGAGGGGATAAATTATAATTAACCATTTATTAAAATAGATAAATTCACCTGAAATATCTTTAAAAAAAAAATCACCTAAAAATTAATAAAGGTAAAGTCACCTAAAATTAATACAAATAAATTCATTTTACATGTAATGGAAATTAATTGACCTAAAATAGTTTTAGAATTTTAAGATTTAAAACAGATAAATTAAAACAAAAGAATCATGGAAAGTAAAGTTTATAATACATAGAAATTCATATTATACATAATAAAAAGTAAAATTTCATTAATGTAGATAAATTCACTTGTAATAGTTTTAAAAATATAAGTTTTATTAAAATAGATAAATTTACCCAAAATATCATAGAAAAAAATTTATAACGCAGATAAATTCATGTTACATATAATAAAAATTGAAATATTATTAATACAAATAAATTGACCTAAAATAGTTTTAAAATTTCAAGATTTACTAAAACAGATAATTCAAAATAAAAGAATCATGAAAAATAAAGTTTATAATACAAATAAATTCATCAATTCATAATTTTTTTTGTTGTAATTAAAATGATATTGAAAAAATGAGCATCAAAATATTTGATAACTCTCATTAAAAAAAATATTCTGAATTATATTTTTTCAAGCAAAAAACTCAAGTAACAACGATCGAAGACACACACCCCCCCACACACACATATGAGTATCTAAAACATTTGAATATCTTGATCTAGTATAAAATATGAGTTTTTGAATTTTTCAATACTGGAAAATTGAGCGCGCAAAAGAGAAAATCATTTTGAGATTTGAAGCCAAAATTTTGAAAGACGAAGAATATTGATATAAAATTGAAAACCTTTGCATGACAGAACACATGCATATGGTAACTGACATCAAGTCGATTATGGCGTGAAACACTAAAGGATAATTAGAGTGATGTTTGGTTAGTTTTTCGGAAATTATTTTTTATTCTCAAAATTTTAAAAATACCAAAAATCTGTTTGTTTAGTTTTTTTGTTCTCAAAATTTTGAGAAAAAAATGAGATTTGAGTCAAAGAAAACAGAAAACAAGTTTAACTTGTTTTAAGAGTATTCTTTAAAAATTTTGAAAACAAGGAAAACAATTTTGGACTTTAATGAGGTCTGCCCTTCGAGTCTCCTTAATTTCAAATTTCTTCATTCCTTTTTTTTTATTTCTTCCTCTCTCTCATAATATATAATATATTATATTATATTATATGTTATAATATATATTAATANAAGAGTATTCTTTAAAAATTTTGAAAACTAGGAAAACAATTTTGGACTTTAATGAGGTCTGCCCTTCGAGTCTCCTTAACATCAAATTTCTTCATTCCTTTTTTTTTATTTCTTCCCCTCTCTCATAATATATAATATATTATATTATATTATATGTTATAATATATATTAACAATATATTATATCATATATATATATATATATATATATATATATATTATATTACATTATACAACCGTCAGCTTGCCGTTTAAAACTAGTAGGGTAAGTTACACTTTGATTCCCTTAAGTTTGTCATTTAATCATTTTAACCCCTCACATTTAGAATATTACTCCTACACCTTATAACGTTTGTGTATGTGTACCATATAATCCTTTGTCGTTGATATTTGTTAATATAGTCGTTAAAAAATATGATTGCATGCTAATAAAAAATTATAGTTTTCATACAATCCTTTATTTTGTGGATTCGATATACTCTAAAGTTCAAAATAAAGCTTATTATTTGAATGTCTAATATAATGCATGTATTTATATAATATTATTTATATTTAATGCAATACATCACTTAAAGAGAATTATTTAAATGCCTAATTGGGAGAATATTTTTAGTCATATTTAGATTCTCAGGAGATATAGGTGCACTATTTCAAATGTGAGGAGTTTAGGTGGTTAAGTGATAAACATGAGGGGGTCTAGGTATAATTTATCTATTTAGTTTTAAATTGATAACTGATGGTTATTAGTTTCAGGTGCACATTGATACAAATATAAATCTTTGAGGATGTAAATTTAAAATTTTTATCTTTGATGGTGCAAATTGAGATTCGAACGATCTTTCTAAATACAATTTGCAATTAACTGTATAATGTATTCACCCTAAATTGTTTTTGAAGCTAATTAGGAAAGATTTGAAGATAAAATACATACATTAACACGTAACTGGACAAGATACACAGCATACACAACCACATAAAGTATGAATTATCCAGATAATGCACGAATACATAATTTTTGCTGAGTTTGAATGATTTAGTGCTGTGGAACGACCAGCACTTGCACTTCACAAAGCCATTCAACTCTTGCAACGACAGAACATATGAGCAGACAGATAGAACAATGACAAAAAAAGGTCATCACCCATGCCAAATTATTTTGTGCAAAATGCGATAAGTTACATAATTCTTTATGTATTAAACCCTTCTGCAGTTTGCTATAAACTGAAGTCTGATTTTCCTGAGTGCTGCAAGAACATCTTTGATGTAGATCCTCTCCTCTGGGTATTCTACACAACAATCCAAAGCCAACTCCATGATGGATGATACACACTGCAGCTTTGCTACTAAGTTCGGCTCACCGGGTGATATCAAGTTGGCATCTATAACCTGGCTAATTGAATTTGGCAGTGACTCATTTATCCAACCCTTTAAACTCAAATCTTCACCAAATATTTCATCAGTTGGCTTCTTTCTCGAAAACGTTTCCATTAACACAATACCATAGCTGTAAACATCACACTGTGTGGATACTAATCCTTCCGATCCATATTCTGCATCCATTGATCAAGAGTATTGCATGTTGGTAAGGAAAGGATAACATATCATAGAATTCAACTAGTCTTTGAATCGCTAGAATTCAACTAGTCTTTGAAAAAACAAAAAAAAAAAAAAGAAAGAATATGTAAAATGTAAACTAAAAGTTAAAAGCATCACCTGGTGCAATATACCCAATTGTTCCAAGAGTCTTGGTTAGGACAAGACTCTCTTCCACACCAAATAACTTTGCGATGCCAAAATCACTCAAGTGTCCGACCATATCTATATCCAACAAGACATTGCTGGGCTTCACATCACAATGAGCAACAGGTGTTACAAAGGCATCGTGGAGATATTCCAATGCACATGCCACATCTATCATTATGTCTAATCTCTGCATAATGTCCAAGTAATAGTTGTGAGAATACAACCACTTTTCAAGGCTCCCATTAGGCATGTACTCGAGCACTAAAGATTTGAAATCAAGATTAGAGCAACTGCTAATGACTTTGGTTAGATTTCGGTGACGAAGGTTGCGTAATACTTCACATTCGGTATCAAAACTCTTGAATGCACCTTCTATTTGCAAATTGAATACCTTTGCAGCCAAAAGCATCCCATCTGCAAGTACTCCTTTATACACTGAGCCAAAACTTCCGATTCCAAGTAAGTTGCTTTCACTAAACCCATCAGTTGCTCTTTGAAGTTCATAGTATGAAATTCTTTCGTTCATTATTTTGGGTAAAAGATCAGATTGGCTCTGCATGTGATTCCTCCTTCGGCCTCTTATCAGTACTAATGCGACAATCAAGGCAATAACTACGGATGCAATCCCCAACAAGATAAATACAATTAAAAGCACCCTTTTTTTCTTTGATCTATGGATAAAATTAGAATCACAAAATGGGAATTGTAGGTGAGGAGCACCACAAAATGCTTCATTCGACATAAAAGATTCCCTGGTGAAGTTTGTGAAAGGACCTCCAGTGGGGATCTCTCCTCTTAATCTATTGAAAGAAACGTTGAAGTATGTAAGATATAGGAGTGCCTCTAATGATTTTGGTATCGCACCAGAAAGATTATTTTGAGACAGATCCAAGGATTCCAAGCTTACCAGCTTACTGAATGACTCAGGAATAGATCCTTGCAATCTATTATGCTCCAAAGAGAGTTCCTTTAAGTTTTGCAAACCTCCAATTGTGCTAGGAATATCACCTGAGAGTTGATTCATCGATAGATTTATAACCGTTGCAACCTTTAGACTTCCAATTCCTGGAGATACATAACCAGTTAAGGAGTTTGAGGCTACGCCAAACTCCAAAAGATCTTTGAGGTTCCACAGGCTTTCAGGTATTCCAGAATTTAGTTTGTTTGAACTTAAATGGAGATATCTTAGAGAAGTGATATTCCCTAAGCATTCAGGGATTGAAGCTGAGAGCTTGTTTATGCTCAAAACTAAGACATTCAAGTACTTTAAACTACAAATGTCATTTGGAATGGATCCTCCTAGCCTATTGTCTCGAAGATATAATTCTTGAAGCTTCAATAATCCTTCAACTGTGGTTGGCAGTAAGCCAGTCAAGTCATTTCCATCTAGAGCTAATNTAAGCTATCACACATATGAACAAATACCATTATGGGGTAGATATATCTACCAGATTATCATATCCTGCATAAAGATCCTAACTGTCTTGGAAGGGATCCAATGTAGGGGTACATGATGCTTGTGAAGATGTAGAGGAATTGCTTTCACTAGCGGCTTGTTGAAGAAGTTTTTGTGCTAGCTCAATGAGGGCAGTGTGCTTCTTCTNCCATCTAGAGCTAATTGTCGCAAATTGCTCAAGTTACCAATATCATCAGGAATGTTTCCCTTGATTTTACAACCTGACGCACCAAAAACTTGGAGAGCAAATGAGAAATTCCCCATGGAAGCTGGAAGTATGCAATTTAGAGGATTATAAGACACCTCTAATATTTCCAAATGTTGGCAATTTGTCAAGGAAGTAAAGAAGCTCAGTTCCGAGGATGAAGATTCAGCTGTCAAATTGTTATATGCCAAGTTCAGAAGCTCTAGGAGTCTTAAACTACCAAGTGAGTTTGGTATTGGACCAGTGAATCTGTTGAAAACGAGTTCAAGACGAACAAGTTTAGAAGCATTAGAGATATAGCTAGGGATAACTCCACTAAGAGTATTGTTTCCAAGAAGAAGATCTTCAAGATTGGGTAGTCCATGGCCTATATTTGATGGAAGATTTCCAGACAAGTGATTATTCACAAACGAAATGACCTGCATGGTCGATATATTAAAGATCGTTGCTGGAATGTGACCTCTTAATTTGTTCAATTCTATGACTAATATCACCAAATTGCGAAGGTTACCAATCTCCTGGGGTATTTCACCTGCCAAAACGAAAAACCACAACCATAAAGTCAGTCTTTGAGGATTTCTGCAAAGTTGTAACAATGATACCGTTTAGACTAATAGTATAGAAGACTTATATTTCAGTAGTGTGTCAAAATTTACTACAAAATAAGGGTAAGGTTACAACTCGATCTAATAATTAAAAATGGGTCGGTGCGTTGTGAAAGTGAATAAAATCATACCAATGAGCACAAAGACATTTTAAAAATGATGTTACAGGCGAAAGATTACATGATTACATACCCGTGAGGCCAGCTTCCTCTGTAAATAAAAACTCCAAAGTACTAAGATTACCCATCTCTCGGGGAATTTCTCCTGCATATGAATTTTCAATTTCTATGAATCTTTTGCTGATTTTTGTTAGTACAAGCAAATATGTGCACAAGGATTAATGTTTACATAAAGAATTCATGTTCTACAAGGATCAGAACCAGGGGCGTGCGGAACCCAAAATTTTGTCCTAAGTGGGCACTCTAACCGAAGTGTTAATTTTTTATTTTTGCAATCAATAAAACTGAAAAACATATTTAAATTTATTAAATGATCTTTGCTATTTAATTATTAAATAGCAAAGGGTCAAATGTTGATTTAGATACCGTATATAAATAAATAAAATTAATTAATTAGAACCTTTGACAAAAAATGAGGCAAACTCTAACTCTTTATAATTGATCCAACGAACTTTCATACTTTGAATTAGATTATTTGATAATTTCATTGCAAATGCTATAGAAAATAGTTTTATGTATATAAACAATTAAACTATCAGTGATCTATCATTGATCACTCATTTGATTATACAACTTGGCATTCACAATTTTCATAGATTATAAAAGTGCAAAATAAGCTCAATATGTCAAAAACTTATCTATATGTATTTGTAACGTATACGAAGGGTGTGCCAAAGTTCATAATCATTTAACTATAGTCCTATGCTAATTGATAGGACAAGAAAATTGGTAGGGTGGTTAAGCATATTAAGATATATCTAAACATTAATTGAATATATATATATATATATATATATATATATATATATATA